AATAATTATATAAACACATGATTATTTTACATGATGATGAAAAGTATGGCCGGAACAAAAGATGTACCAAAGATGTATCGTGTTTCAGTTCATTTCGTGAGTCATCATTTCCTGAAATACCCCCGAAAAGTCACGTAAATTGTAAATTACATGTGACAGAGAATGAATTATTCTGAATATTCTCTTAAACTAAATCAACGAAAATTTTACTGATTAATATTGACGTGGATACTTCATTACAAGTCACTGAGTATTTTACTTCTCTTCGATGCGATTTTATTTTTTCGCATCAATTAATAGTAACTAATAAAAGTAAAAAGAGTGGTAAACTGTATGTCTTTTTATATTTTTGTTGGGAGAAAAAAATTCTCATATTCGCGGAGTGAGATTCATATTCAATTTTAACATTCAGATTCAGTTTAGAATTATATTTTTTTAGAGTATTTTATATTTTTAGAGATATATTTTTTAAAATTATATTTTTTTTTCTCTCGGACTTGCTATTTATAGCCACTATTTCCAGCAATTAAAATCGTCCACTATTAATTGATTCTTTTCTATACATGATGACATATTTACATAACAGTTTCTTTTCTTATATGAAAAATTAGAGTTCACGGGAAAAATGAACAATAAAATGTATTCGTAGCGATATTTAAGATATTACAGTGATAAGGCTGTCGTGCAAATAATCTTCCGCTATCAGCACGCGTGTGAAACTTTTGACTCACTCGCTCAATTTCGCTCATCATTTCGTCGCAATTCATAATTTAATCTGACATAACGGCGAGTCCGCGTGACGGCTGATAAAAAGTCGTGCAATCGGCTTAGGGACGTGTCACGTAAAAGCGTACCGACAAGTCACTCTATGTAAACAACGACACATACGTGTGTGCGTGCGTGTGCGTTCCGTGTATGAATATCGGCTTACGCGGAATACTGCGTGTTTCGTGCACAACGTTGAGCGTTTGTTGGCTGACGACGGTTTGTCGTCGGAAACTCGGGGAGTTCACATTGACTTAGGGTTGACTTAGGATTCTCAAAGCGGCTTGGACCGTGTCGGGATCGGGAGCCCAGTGTAAACTACACGGCGCGACGCTCGGTAAAGCCGGTTAACGGTGCCTCTCTCTACTACTTTTCCCAAGTAATAAATTAACGCGGATCGCGCCGAAGCGCAAGATTCACAGATGAGAGATGCCATCTTGCGCATACGAAGGAGAGAGGTCAGGTCATTGCGGATGTCAATTTCATTTCTTGACAGTTGTGAGTCCGGAATATTTAATAATTACTATCCAATAAAAAAAAAAAAAATCGAACCTGTCCAAACCTGTGCCTTATTGATTCAAACTTAAAGAAAGTAAAAAAAAAAAAAAGTAATTGTAAAAACATAATATTCCAGAATTCACTAAAATTGAATCACATTCGCAAATCTGATTCTTTTGGTGACAAAGATTCAAAAAAGAGTGATATATCATGACTACTTTTATTTCCAAACTCAATCGCAAGTACAAAACAACCAAGTGGAGCACTTGAATTTCGAACTTTCAAATGAGTCCCTACACGCCGCAAAACTCCAATGTTTTCATCTTTTTTAAAATTAAAAACTACTTTGAATTTGGAACCTTTGAAAATCCTATAACTTCGAAACGAAAAATCGATTTGAAAACGCAAATTGAAATTTATATATTTTTTTCAGCTCAACGAGATCCTTTCATATCGTACTTGTTTCAACTCCTTATTTCCCTAACTGATTTAGGCGAATATCTTTGAATAATTCTGATATTTCTATATTCTAAATAAACAATAATCATAATTAATGTTTAGAAGGATGTATTAAATTATCCAAATATTTCGCAATTTTAGCAAGAATTAATCTTTATAAAAAATATATATATATATATATATATATATATATATCTCGATAACGAAAATATACCTTCGTTTAACAAAAGATACACGATTCCTACTAATAATAGCTACAGTTAGAAGTCACACGAGAGACGGTACCGTCTTAGATAAGAGAGACGACGAGGCGACGTTTCTTCTTTTTCGTCAAAGCTACTCCTTAACGGCGGAAAAGTCGACAGGTGTTTCTACGATCTTGTTTATGTCCCGCGGTCTTTTTTCTTTTTATTTTCGCGCGCCCTCTCCCCTATGTTCCCTCTTTTCTTTCCCACCTTTTTCCACCCCACGCTTTCGCGAAGCTATTCGACGCACTCTTATCGTATGAAGCCGGTCGTGAAGCCAACGAGAAAAATGGTTCTGCGATTTTCCTCGCTCGCTCGCGTCGACGTTTCTCTTCCAACTCGCTCGCGACGACGTTTCCCTCCCCCTCCTCCCCCCCTCCTCCTCCGGCTGTTTTTGCGAACTGTTTTTCCTTTTAGTGCGCTACTACTCTCCGTTTTTCTACCGTCCGCAAAGCTTTCCCGCGACGTTTCGTTTCGCGTCGCGGCGACGTTACCGGGAAAAATGTAATAAATGGCTTCTATTCGTTAACCGTCATAGGGGCAGGTAGAATAGAGGCTTTTTTTCCAAACGTGTCGACATCTCCGGAAATAAATATAAATAATAACGGAGACGCAACCTGTAACTCGTACAGCGATCGATGAAGAATTGCGGGCCGACGCAAATTCAGCGACATTCGTGTTAAATCGTTATCGTTTGTGTAAATATTGTTTCTGTCTTCTATTACGATCGAGAGAAGTATTTCGCGACATATTAACATATTTTGCAAATGCCATTTTGCAAATCCCGTCAATTTACGTTAATGCATGTCGCTTCGATAATTCATCGCTACTCGCCCAGAATGAAAACAATGCGCGCGATACTCTTAAGTATTCATAATCCATTCTAGTTCGACGCAAAATTATTCAGCGTACTCATATAGGCCGAAAGTCATCTCGATATTCAATTCAATTTCCGCTAGTTAATTAAAGTCAATATCCAACATTGCAAATAATTGGTTTACAAGCTATTATTCTTATAAATTGAACGATCGTAAAGGTAAAAATGTGAGGTATAAATGTGAGGATACTTTTTTTTTGTGCGTCACCTGTATCATTGCAATATTTTGGTAATAATAAACGCACATTTTTGGCACTCGTAAATAACTCGAATCGTTTCGTTGAAAAAAATTTAAATTCAATTTATCGAATTGCATCATATTTTAAATGACACTTAGAAACTATAATAAGTAAAACTTACAGTTCATTAAACATCTTGGTTTCACATTCTCGAATAAAATAGCAATAAATCGTTGTCAAAAATTATTTATTGTTCCAATAAATCTTGCATCACAAGTTAAAAATTATCAATTGGCTAATCGAACATTCGAGCCGAATTTATGGAAAAGGTCATATTAGCGCAGTCAATTGCTAAGAATATAAATCATGAAATTACGTCCAATGTAACTTTTGTTTACGTGCGTAACTTATACCTTGAACGAATCTTCAAGTTGAAACACATGAGTGGCAAACACAAGGTACTTAGAAGTTCATTCTAAGTCAAAGAACCAATTACAGAATGACGTTTGATGTTTAAAAATAAAAAATATCATTTTCAATACATATTTTGTAGAGAAATGTATTTTAGCTTTACAAAGGAAAAGATTCTAGAATCTTAAATAAATATATTCTATGCGCAAAATGTTCATTTAAATAGCGAATCTAAAATTTTCCAAAATTTTTTGCATCTTCTTATTGTACGACATCTCGAGAAAATATTCCTACAATGTTATTTCAAAATTCAAAGGAATCGACAAAGTTCTAAACGAAATAGTCATTGAGCGGAGTAGATATCTTTGTATTTGAAGAATCTCAGGCATCCGACAAAAGAAACACGGCTTTCTAGGAACACAATAGCCTTTATGTGTGTCTTTTTGAAAACCTGATATGTATGTATGTGTGTGTTTTCGAAAATGTTTCGACGATTATAACGATCTCGGTGGTCTTTCGAATTCAGATTTTTCTCCTAACTTTGGCTCGAGCGGCCATTTAACCTAATATTATCGTGAAAAAGAAACATCAAGCAATATAATTATTCTTATGGAAGTGATGGACATAATTATTGGCCAGCAATAGAATAAGATGTTTATGGACAAGTAATGGACTCGTACGAGTCGAGATCAAAAGCACGAGAAGGAAGATTCGTATTGCGTGTCTCTGTTTGTACTGTCGAAACAACTTGGAGGAATTACACGTTCTTTGAGAAAATGGAGAGTCTGCTGCTTTATGAATCGAGAATGGCAGAAATTAACTAGTAAGCGTGAGAAAATTGTGTCTTAATAGTACTCGAAATTTTAAACATGGTTTTTCTCGAAACGGTCAAGTCCGTCGACATCAGAACTCGAAAACTTATAATCGGATCGACTTCGGCCAATGGATAAGTCAAAATAATTTTATATCTTTGACATGAATCTATAAAACTAATAAAATTGTTAATAATAAACTATTTTTTTTTTGCAAAAGTATGACGAAAAATTGAAACCTTCTTTAAACAAAAATCTTTTCCTAATAAATTTTACAATCTTTTTATTCGGAGCGAGATTCATACCAAAGAGGCATTAACAACAAATAAATGTTACATATCTTGTACGATATGTAACGAATGTTACATATCTTGTTTCTACATTTCAGGCCTGTATCTCGAGGAATGTCAATGGAAAACATAAGATAACACGTAACACCTACGATACGGCGCTTAACTCGGCCAAATATTGATGGAATTTTTTTGAAAAAAGTTGATTATTTTTGTATTAATTGTATATGAAAGTATTTCAGTTTTGTGTGTGTGTGATTCATTTAAAAAAAATTTTTCAATTTATCTCATTTTTGAGCTCTACAATCCACGGTTAAATTCCTAGATTTTAAATTAATACAAAATTCATTTAATTTCTGAATACATTTTCAAAAAAATTCTTTTACAATTCATTTTAATTAGCGCGGTTCAAAACACAATTATCTTCGAGCCACAATCGTTTTGTTCAGTGTGGAATAACTCACCGTGTCGAGATTGAACAGGCTCGAGACCTTCTTGAGAAAACCATCTTGCGACTTCTTCTTCCTTCTGGTAGTCATCTTACAGTTGTGCTCTAGTTGTGCGGTGTTCCACAAAAAAACGACGTTCTATCAATCCAATTAATCCCTTTGATCAAATCGCACCGAGGCACATCATACCTCTTTTGTTCTTCTCACGAAACTGCATAAACGAACGGTCGGATGGATAATTTTGTGGTTTCGCGGAGGACGTGCGAAGGACACGCGGAATTTATTTCCTATAATCTTTGTGATTGCAACGTAAACCTCAGTTTCCGTTGCATTGATTTATTATGTCGAGAAGAAATTTTCTCAATTCGCTAAAGTTGCATTTCGTTGAACTGTTGTATAAAACATGAAACTGCATAATTAATTCACTGTCAGTTTCCTACATATGCTGCAGCATACAGACATTTTCAAATCGTCGAAAAGTATTCCGCCGTTTCTTTTTTTTTTTATTTTTATTTTTATTTCGCGATTTTACAACCCTCTTATCTCTCGTTAACTAATCTTCGCTGAAATATAAGTATGCCTATTTTAATCTAATAATAGGACGACACGTGTTTCTCCTTTAAATATGGTTCTTTCTAAATTCAAAGGCCCTTTGGGCGAGATGTCGAAATGACTCGAGTACGACAACACATGATATTATCTACTCATGTTTCTTATTCCATTCGACGCCCGTCAAATGTCGTTCCGTGAGTGAGTGTTAGCCAATGACATGTCGCGAGGGGTCGTATGATAAAAAAGAAGGGATACAGGTGAAGGACTCACGTGTCGTTCACATTTATAGTTCTAATTGCCTCGGTGGCAGGTGTACGAATCGACGAGGTATCGAGTTTCGGTGACCCTGACGCGAAAAATAGGGCACATCTGCCCAAACTTTCAATTTCATTTCATCGTATATTTCGTGTATTGATGAGAATTCTCATCGTATCCCCAACTGCGAACATTATTTACTTGAATTTAATATTTAACGTTGGTGGAAAATAGAGACTAATAATTATTATTGAGTCGTGACAAACGAGCGAACATCGATTGTCAGAGCGTTTGCTCAAATTCAAAAAAAGAATTCTCTGAAGAAGACCGTGATTTTCAAAGCAATTTTGTTAAAAATTCCAGGTAAAATGTGAGCATTTTTAAATGCGTCTTACAAATAGATTATATATTTATTATGCAAAATTCTTAATATTTCCCGTTTTATAAAAATTTATAGATCATGAAATAAAATTAATTAAAAATCCTATAAGGACTCTAAAAAATAATATTTTATATTACAATTAAAAAAAAAAAAAAAAAAAAATTAATTAAACGAACGACAATAATACACAAAATTACAACCTAACGACGAAATACAAATAAGT